ATCCCTCCTTTCTGTTTAAATTTCCCTTAGAACCTTTCTTTACATTTAGAAATGGGAACAAAATAGCTACATGGATTGATTGCCAGGACATAGGCAGCTTCCATCACAGGAGACTCACAGAAGACATTGCTTCGGTTCCAGCATTGGAGTTATGAATTTATTTTCACCTGGAAGTGAAACTACAGACTCCTTCTCAGAGTCAGACTGCGTAAGTTCTCACCTTGTCCATCCATGTGTGCAAGCCCAGAAGTCCCTGTATCCTTCTCCTTGTGTCATAGACCTGACTGAAGAGTGGGAACTAACCTGTCAGTGGAAACTTACTCTTTCTCTGCCAATTTGATTAGTACTACTATGGAAATGCCACAAATCTCCACAAGAAGCCCAGTTCCATATGGAAAGCATGGAGATGCTCTTCCACCATGAACCTCACATCTCAATCTCAAGGAAATGATGTAATGTAACTTATCCAGTTTCCCACTCCCATTCCCTCGATGCTACATATGCTTCATGAACATACAGTTTTTCCATGGAAAGAAAGATAGCTCAGAGGAAACTCATCCTAATATGTGGTGCACAGGAGTTTAGCAGAAAAGAATTTATTTTTCCATCAAGGAGAGTTCATTATCCCCACAGTATAGCTCAAATTAAATATACATACCTCATCAAACCTCTTGCACAACAGGGGAATTCACTATGAATAATTAATTAAGTAGAGTTTAATCAGCAATGATCATGACAAGAGCTCCACTGATGTATTTGTATGAGCATCTTCAAGCAAAGCTGCTTTCTGTTTTCATCAAATCTCCCTTGAGCTCATGCCATACAGCTATACTTTTCCCAGTTGGAGAACTCAGTCAGTCTCAGATTTGGACTGCCAGGATGTTTTTCTTTTAAATGTTAAGAATGTAACACTTTGCTAAGTGGCCTTGGTAGTTTAACATGTTTCCTCTCATTTTAGATGACACTTTGCTTTCTGCGTGGTTTTGCAAAATCTCCCTGCCTTGATACATGATGAGACCATGGCATTTGTGCCAGAGCAACCTTTATTTGACTGGAAAAGAGTTAATGCACTTCATGTTCATTGCAAGACCTACTATTTTTCAGTACTGTAATTAAACCTATTCTAAGCTTTATAGCAAGCCTCAGGGTAACAGTTTGTACACTTCTAGCACTTTCACAAAGAGTGCAGTATCTGGAACATCTAAGAGATCCAGTTCTGTAAGTCAATTAGAGCTGTCTGGGAATTTTCCATTGACAGTTTTTTGACAGAAAATGAAGTCTTCAGAATTTCAATCTCTTTGAGATATACTATGGAATGCAGTTTCCTCAAATATTCATCTACTGTGGCAAAGTTTGATACAGTCTTTCTTTCCTTTTTATTCTCCATTAGGAAAAGTGAAACAGAACATTTAATGTTGATCCAGATTGACCTAAATAAGAATAATTTTAAACTAATTAGTATATTTCCTGTCAAACAGCTCAGTTTTATTTTAGATGGCCTCAGGGCCTGGTGGGAATTAAGTGTGACTGACCCCTATTTTTCCTTCAGACTGACTTCTGAGGCTGTAATATATCTTTCATGAGGCACCACGTTTTTGACCCCTAGCTGAACTGCTTCAGCATCTCACGGGAATCACTTGATGCTCATGTATCACTGGAAACACAGTTTGCCCTAAGAGCATGACACATGGGAAAGCACTGGGTACCTGATTTACAACTCCCAGAAAGCACTGCAAAAATTTAAAAATCCGATGACATTTTGTCCAGGCACAATTTGCATAGTAATGGATTTTCCATCAGACCTAATCACAGCAGGGAGGAAAATGAAAGTCAGATTAGCTAAGGAGATCTGCATTCAGGTTGCCATTCTGGTTGGTTACCATTTGGAAATTTCAAGGTCTCAGTCATTCATTCCTGATGTAAAATGAAGGTAACAGTACTTCCTCTTTTCTGTTCTTCGTCTTTTTTGGCTATTCAGCTCTTCAAACTACAGACAGTGCTTTTCATGTTCACATACAGTGCTGAGCCTAATACAGCCTCTAAACTCCACCACCAGAGCCACAGGGAGACGATTCCCTGGGTGGGCAAGCTGAATGCTTGCTGGCTTCAATGTCCAAGGCCACAAGACCAGATGACAGCCCAAATCCCACTGTCTGATTCTTACTGCTTCACATGCATTTTTACTGTCAGTGCTCTTACGTACTCGTAACCATGCTGGTAAAAGAAAGCATTTTTCTTATAGATTCTTCCATTTGCAAACTCACAGAAATAAGTGAAGAATCAGCAATTCCTTGCAACAATATTACTTTAACGCTCTCAGTCTTATTAATCTACTGACTGTTTCTGTGGAATATTTCCGGGGGGTTAAGGCAATATTTTGGAGAAAGATTTCCTGCCTCAAAGGGTTTCTTATTTAAATGAGACATGAAACAGATTTAGACAGCCAGATGGAGGAGCACAGGGAACCAGAAAGACAATCCTGGTTAGGATGATTGTCAGTGGTATCAGTACACCCACTGTTTAGGCACTGTGACTTCTATGTAGGCCTGGCAGAGATTTTCTACAGTGAGACAGAATAAAGAACAATAAATATATCTATCTGTTAATATTTAGTACTAGTTTATGCCCTTGGGGCAGAATAGATTGAAAGAAAATATGAAGCTTTTCCTGTTGGGTTGGTAGACAAAAAAAGCCAACACAAGTACATTCAGTTCATCAGTGATCTTGTGATCCCTGTAATGCTAATTTTTTGCCACTCATTCTCCAGAAGTTCTTTCTTCAAGAGAATAAGTTTTACCTTTCAGTGTAATTAAAAAATTGTTGCTTTTCAGATTGCATTATGAACAAAGTGATGTTGTTATGAGTCATTGTTTTCTTTTGCTTCTATTTAAAATATTACACCTATTCATTCTGAACATATATTTTTAAATTTTTTGAATCTAAGCCCAGAGCACTTGACCACATTCAGTCCACTTAAGAGAATCAGATTGCAATTTATACATACATTGTTGTACACATTGTGGACCAGATCCTCACAGATACTAAGGTACCTAACAGCATTGGGTTTCAGTAGAGATGCAGGCTCCTAAACAGAAGTGATGTTTCTAGGAAAATTTGTTGGTCCTGAAAAATGGATTAATTAAAATGTTAATGTTATTTTGTTAAGATTTGTACACTGATCTCTGTGCAGGTATGTTGCGTATTCTTTAAAATATTTGCTGTTTCCAAAGCACGAAAAGCTTCTGCAAATTTTAATGTATGCATATGTCTTTCTGTTTGTATTTAGGAAACTATGGTGAAAGTGGAATGGAAGCTTTCAAAGATATGGCGGCCAAGGAAGGCATCTGCATTGCACATTCCTACAAGATCTATAGCAATGCTGGTGAACAGAGTTTTGACAAGCTGCTGCGGAAGCTCCGGAGCCACCTGCCCAAGGCAAGAGTGGTTGCCTGCTTCTGTGAAGGCATGACTGTGAGAGGTCTCTTAATGGCTATGAGGCGCCTGGGACTTGCTGGAGAATTTTTGCTGCTGGGCAGGTGAGTAATACCATGCAATTACAGCCAGCTTCTTTTCTGAGTAGGGCAAAGAAAATCAAGCATACGTAAAACACATACTCATGGTCCCTCCTATATATGTGCATGTCTAAAGGATGGAAAGTAACGTCAGCCATGTCGTAGTGGCACATACTCTACAAAAACATGCATCATTCTCATGACATGTCAGGCAAACACATGACTGCTTGGCCAGTCTCAACAGCATTGCGTAGGCGAAGGCTGAAACGCAAACTTTTGATTTGGGTCATCCATTTTGTTCACTGCAGTTTAAAATTCATCCTGTACGGCCTGAAGCTAGGCCTCATGTCAGTAACACTGTGTTAAGAGTTGCTGATATGGCCTCTGGGTGGATGTGAAATAGATCTTCACGAGACAAAGTTTGTTAACCATCATGTTTTCTTCCTGAGCCAATGTGCTGACGTGTGCCTACTGCCCTAAAGGCAACAGACAGGTAATCCTTTCTCTTATGTGGAGCTCAATGATATCAGTGGTTCCTTCCCTAACCACCAAAGGGAGAAAGGAAAACTCACTCAGATGTGTTCACCAAGCAGGAAAAGACCCTGGGCCAGTAAGCAGAGAAGTAGAAGCTATTGACGGAAACCTAATGGGATCTTTGTGTTTGCCACACATTCAACAAGTGGTCCCTAAATGAGATGACAAAAATGGTGTATTGACCACAAAATGGAGCATCCCAGAAGTCAGCTAATGTGGCCTGCTGCATTTCCAGTGCGTTATTAGAAAGTTGACCTGATACTGTCCCAAGAATGAACCCTACAGGAACACAAATAAAATCATGTCAGTGAAAACAGGTGTCCTGGTGAGACCTTCAAGGAAACATGTAAGGACTGCAGCTCTGCCCAGCTGTCTTGGAAGCTGGGATGCTAAGACTGTCCCACTGGTAGGACACCAGCCGCTATTCCAAGTCTGCCTTGTAGTATGCAGCTGCCCTTCCCCCTTGAGGAACAGGGAAAGCAAACAGGCAACAGCTTGGACTCCTGCCTCTGCCCTAACTCTTTGCTATCAGCCTGCATTTTGGGAATTGAAGATGCAAATTTCTTACTTATTTCTCTGTCTTATGACAACTGTGTCTGCCCTTCCTTTCAAGTACATTTTATCTGTAAGCTTTTCCATGGGTTATCTTGATCCTTGTCTGGACTAACACCCAAAGGGACCACAGCCCTCAGGGTGAGATTTACCTAAACATATTTAGATGTCTACAGTTTAGATACTTTGGTGTGGACTTGTCATCATGCTTCCCTCTGTAGTTTATGGAGAAAAACAGGACCTTCTTAGGTCCCTTGTTTGTAATGTGGACATTTCGAGTAGCTCAGAGAAATTATGCTCTGGAAAAGGGCTTGCACAAAGACTCTCTTGATGACTAGCTTTGGTGGAAAAGCCTACTTGCTGGTTAAAGTGGAGCAAATGCCACATCTATTATCTCTAGCTGAACCTGGTGCCACCTGACCTTTGCTGTCTTCTTTTATGCTAAACATAAGAAGTTGCCAATTCTCTGCAGCAACTCCCAAATTTAGAAGCACGTAAGCATTGTTTTCAAAAAATATGTTTGCCCTTAAGTCCTCCAGACTCCAAACCATACTTAATTTTGTATGGGATTTGTTTATGTACAACAGTGTTCAATTTAGCCCTCTGAGATACTTTTATGAATAACGACTTCAAGAACCAGTGATTGTGAATAAGAATGGAGCAATACAGTTTAGCTCTTAAAAAAAGTAAGGTCCAGAGAGAACTGGCTTTGCTTTTTTTCTTCAGTGAAAAATACCTGTTTATAGCTGCAGTGGGAGCTGTCATGAGTAATTATAAGAAAGTTTTTATTCAGTATATGACTTTCATTCAGTAAATTGAAAGTGATAGCTTCTCTCAGAAGTCTAAACTGTAAACTGTAAACTGTTTGAAGTTAAAACAAAAATCCTTAATTCTACCAGATCAATTTATGTGTGCCCATGCCTGTGGCAGCATTATACAATTTGTTTGTGAAAATTGGAGCATGAACTGGAAGTTTTTGCAAAGAAAGAAAAAGAGAAGTCTAGGGATTATTTTTTTTTATCCTTTCTAATTATTAACAGAGATTCCAAGGTAATGGCTGAGAAGTGGCTACTCAAACATAGGGTAACCTGTCCCCAGCCAGTAGCTTGTCAACCAGTAGATATACACCATTGCACTTGTCTTCACCCAACCAGAGCATTCCTACAGCTGCATGAGACAGCTGAAGATAGGTGGGGTGTTGTATTCTCCCTGCATATGGCTCTGCACTTGGAAGATCCCAAGGATCTAGGAACGTCTCAACTCCTTTCAATAGTTTTGGTACAGATTTGGGATTAAAACCAGCTATAAACCAGAAATAAAACAACCAGTTTTGCCTACCGAGGACTTTTATTTTGTTTTGAGTCACCCATAGTCAGGAAAGCGGACTGTTTTATGTCCCTGCAGTGCAACAAGACTCATGTGCAGAGTGTGGGATGTTGTAGAGCCATTATTTATGTTCCACAAAAATGTTAATTCTAACAAAAATGTTCTCCTTCTGCTGTGGGATAATCTCTAGGCTTCTCAGCAGAGGGGAAAGAAAAAAAGCAAAATAGAAAGCAGGGAACTTGCAGGAAGCCTTCTTGATGTAAATGGAATGCAAGACAATAATGCCATTGTCCATTGATGACCTGAGTTCCTGCAGGGATTTAAAGCTCCATTTTCCAGAACCTTGATGTGCTGTGTGCTCTCTTGATTTCAGCTGTCTGGCTCTGTTGGTTATGAATATTTAATTGGTGGACCAGATCTAGGCTGACTGGTTGCTCCTGTGGAGAACAGCCTAAGGCACTGACCTGGGATGGATGTGACACCAGGACAAACCCAGACCTTACAAACAGATTATGTTGGGGACTTTTTGTGCATCGTTTATGAGGGGAAAAAGGCATTTAGCAAGATTTTGTAAAGAACAGATGGTTCAGAGTGCTTAAAGGGGAAAGGGCTACACCTGAAATAAAAGAAGGCTCATGCAATTAATTTCTCTAGTGAAGCTACACAGGAAAATGGACTAGGATAAGATTTATACTTTCATTCATGCTCTGATCCTGGAATTGCTCTGGGCTGCCCATTCAACTGGGAAGGTTATGAAAGGACACAAGTGTAGGGAGAGTGCCTGTCACTGAAATGCAATGGGCTCACAAGGAAAACTTTATCTGCTAATGGATAGTTAGTTATTTGTTACCCCATAAATGCATTTTGCTTCCCCCTTGTTCTATGAAGTGGTGAATTATTTTATTTTATTGCCAAATGCACAGAAAGAACTAAAGCCCCAAAGCTACACTGTACTCTATGTGAAACCACAAGAAATCAACATTTCCACTTTCTCTTACCTTTTTTTTTTGTTCCATTTCTGAGTTGGGTTTGCCTCTAATTTTCCCAATCTAGAGCCTTGAGAAAATACTAAGATTTTTGGAGGGCATAGATTTCTCATAGCACCTGTTTTATGCTCAGATAAACAGAAAATGGAGTGGCCAAGGAGAGTACATATCAAATAAATCACCCTGTAGAGCCCCAAGGGGAGGAGAAAAGATATCCTTCAATAAACTCTCCACTCTTGATGTACTATACAGTTCCTGAAATTGCATTGCTTGCCGGTGACAGTGATGAAAGATGGCAAGTCATTAGTGATTGTAGCATTCCAGAGCTTTTTGATTCATGGAAACATTTAAAATGCTCAGCAAATGTTTACCTCATGCACCTTGAGGAATTGGACTTAACCTCAAATAAAAAGGTGAGTGTGTTGAATTTAAAGTGTGAAAAAAATGCTATTTTGACCTAATCTTTATTCAGTCTAATTGAGATTAAGGACACCAGGCTTCATCTGCTTGTCTTTATTGCTTCTGTCATCCACAGGTCATATGCCAGGAGGTATCCTTACAGATAAAATTCATTAGAGAATAAATAATACATTTGTGTAGCAGAGTAACTTTGGAACACATTTCAGAAAGAAATATGGAGTATTAATTGTGTAGATAAAACCAATTTGGTTCTAGGTGATTTTCATCTATTCCTCATTTTATGTCAGAGTCATCCCCAATAACTGAAATTTTGTTTCACGTTGAACATACACCTTCATCCTCCTTCTTTGGATTACTAGTTTCTGATGTTTGGACAAAACTTCTGTGATAACTCTCTCCAGTGATAATTTTATCTGATACCTTTCATCTACAAAGGTTCCAAAATATCTCTTGGAATGACTAAATGTTACAGTGCCAGTTCACATGACTTTTCCTGATAGAATAGAAACTATTAGCCACAATTGAAATTATGCATATTGACTCCAACTGTCCTAAATAAAATGGGGTCAGAGAACAGTACTGCAGTATTGGATAATTTTATTCTTTTTTTTGCTCACTGGCATTATTTTATCCTGTAACAACTGACACTTTTGGGATGGGATTTGGACATGGTGTTGGTGACAGCACTGTCAGGGGTAGTTACCAAGAAGCAGTTTGGACACAGATACTCTGTTATTGGGGTAGAAGAGTGTTAAGATACAGAGATGCAGGCTTTGCATGCCTTTTACCGCCAGAAGAGAGAATTGTCCCTGGTTTGTTTTATTTAATAATAAATAATAAATTTAATAATAGTATAAAAGTAGCTATTGTACAAACCTACAGAGCAAGAGACTGAAATTTTGCCAAGGATTTGTGATTCTATATGCAATGTAGTAGGATTTTTCCTGCCTTAAAGAGAGGAGAAGGAAAAAGAGAGACATATAGAGATAAAATGGCTTGGTCAACATCTCCAGCTTCCAAGTGGCATTCCAGAGGCAGTATTGATCTGCAAGGAATTACTGGAACTTCCATACGCGTCATGTTCCAGTATATGTATAGTGTGTTAGACTTACTCGGGTATTAACTATCTTTTTTGAGTGAAGAGAAGTTAATTAAGATTATCTGGACTTCCTTTTGCATAAAATGAAAAAATTAAACACAATCAGT